CCACTCTCCACAAGGAGATAGCTCACAGACAGAAGCAAGGCTGCAGTACACAGACAGCGTCACCATGTTTAAAGACTATCTGGCTACATTTGTTTACACTAGTCTAGGTGGTATTGAAGCTGAATGACACCAGTGTTTTCTCCATTAATCACTGATAGGCACAAGTCAGAATTAGCTAAGCCAGCTCTGCCACTTGCAAAGTTAAAATAAGGTTTTGGTTGGATAAAAGGACTTTCATGTTTTGAGCACTTCTCTAACTGCGCTGCTCTGGGTGGCTGCATGATGGAGTGACTCTGTTGACTATATGTAAGTTTAGCCTTTTTTTGGGCATTTTTTCTTCTAGTTTCTCAAGAAAAACTGTATTTTTTGGACACTTTACTTTTCTGTTTCTGGTGCTGTGAAGCTTGGAGGATTTTTACTGCTATTTTTTAGCTTTTCTCGCCTTTTGAGCATTTGTTATGATGCGTAACCATGGCAACAAGCTGGTTTACAATCGGGAGCAGCTGATTAACATTGGAAAGGCTGAAATAATACCTCAACTGAAGCCACAAATCCCAAATGAGCTAAAACGCAAGAAGCGTGGATGCAGAGCGGGAGCAAAACGGAGACAGAGAAAGAGGGAATTCAAACCATCTCTTCCATCGATCATAATGGGCAATGTGAGATCACTGGCCAACAAGATGGAGGAACTCCAAGCCCTTTCAAGAACTCAGCCAGAGTTTCGGCAGTTTCGGAACCGCTGGAGGAGATAATGCAAAGAAGGATTCTCCAGAGAATCAAGAAAATGATGGACAACCCTGAGCATTCTCTTCACAAGACTGTCCGACAACGGAAGAGTGTCTTCAGTCAGAGGCTTCTTCAGTTTGGCTGCAACACTGACCGCTACTGGAGATCCTTCCTGCCAACAGCCATTGTAATATACAACAACTCTTTGATGACTTGATTATTATTATTATTATTCTGAGCTACTACAGCAATCAATTTCCTTCTGGGATTAATAAAGTATTTCTGAATTGAATATCATAGTACAAACTGGACCAATTTCATTTAAGATGCAAGATTTGTGGCATCTCATCCATCCGTTCATTTTCATCCACTTATCTGGGGTGGGGTAGCAGGGGTAGCAACTAAGCAGAAAGACCCAGGCTTTCCTCTCTCCAGCCACTTGGGCCAGCTTCTCTGGGGGAATCCCAAAACGTTCCCTGGCCAGATGAGAAACATGGTCCCTCCAGCGTGTCCTGGGTGTTCCTTTTGGTCTCCTCCTGGTTGGACGTGCTCACCAGTGAGGCATACAGGAGGTGTTCTAACCAGATGCCCGAGCCACCTTAACTGTCTCCTCACGATGTGGAGGAGCAGCAGATCTACTTCGAGCCCCTCCCAGATGACCAAGCTTCTCACCCTATCTCTAAGACTTCCTGTGGAGAAAACTAATTTCGGCTGCTTGTATCCGCAATGTAATTCTTTTGGTTACCACCCAAAGATCGTGACCAAAAAACCTTCACCAGCTCTTTCGATGACATCCCAATGTGGCCCAGGGCCTGCCTAGAGATTACTTCACTCCAGTTTGACCTTGGTCATTGCTAAAGAATATGCCTAAAACATCTTTCCAAGGAGATGACGTGGGAGCATCCTGACCACATGTTTGATCCACCTCAGCTGGCTTCTCTTAACGTGGAGAAGCAGCAACTCTACTCCAAGCAGCTGCTGCTCTACAGCAAGATAGCAGAAGGCTCACAACTAGAAGCTGGGCAGTGCAAGAGATACAGTGATCAGCTCAAGCTCCTTCTCAAGCATTGTGGTATCTCGTGGTCATAGAAAACTAATAATCTTGATTCAGTGGGGCACAATTTTGCTCTGATGGCATAAATCCGTGCCTAGTCCTCCTTCAGCAATACTGATCTACAGGCAACGCTGCTCAGAAAAACCACCACACCCCTGATTGATGACTTCAACTGTCCAGAATGTCAACTAAGATGTCGTTAATGACTTGGACTTATCAGCTATTAAATAGCTCACTGATGATGGAGACCCAGAACAACGTGATTCATACTGTGGACACGTCGGAATTAAGGTGAACATTATTCTGCTTTAAAAAGGAGCTTTTTGGGTTGAGCGACTGTCCGAAGTGCCAGGGATTAAAATGGTGTCATTCACCAACACATTCTCACACCCGAAGCGGCTAAAAATAACGATGGGTGACCAAGCGTTTGTTTACGAGGCGACCCGCTGTGCCAGAGCGTGGGTTTCCAGCGCCCGCCTGGTAAAACGCACATTTAACCGACATTTGACCTCCAACCTCTTGCTATTTAATCTTCTCCTCACCCACATCCTAACCTTAACCCAGTTTCTCATTCTAAACTTCCCGCTAACCATGCTGGAGAGGGACGTTACAACTAGAAACTAAGTTTTGCATGCATGAAAAGGTTAAGGTTAGGATGGGGGTGAGGGGGAGGTTCAATTGCAAGAGGGTAAAGGTCACAATTTGGTGAAATCTCCGTTTTACCGCAGCCGACGGAAAATGACGCTCTGGCACAGTGCGTCGCCTCCCCAACATCTGAAACAAACGCTTGGTCGCCCATCGTCATTGACGCTTCAGGTGTGAGAATGTGCTGCATTCACTATGCCGAGACTTCATAAAACACAAGTACCTCAACAGAAGACACGTACGTGTGTCTTTGCACCTGTTTAACTAGTGAGCTGAAGTGTAGAAATGACCTAATAGACTAAAACAGACAATGCCCTTTCCCAAGCCTCCTGTGTGTGTGTGTGTGTGTGTGTGTGTGTGTGTGTGTGTGTGTGTGTGTGTGTGTTTGTGTGTGTGTGTGTGTGTGTGTGTGTGTGTGTGTGTGTGTGTGTGTGTGTGTGTGTGTATGTGTGTGTGTGTGTGTGTGTGTGTGTGTGTGTGTGTGTGTGTGTGTGTGTGTGTGTGTGTGTGTGTGTGTGTGTGTATTTGTACCCTTGTGAAGACCAGATGTGGGACATTCACTAACCTTCTTACGACTGATGGTCCTTGTTAGGACCCAAACCCGGTCCTACTATGGAGTCCTCCCTAGAGTTGAGGTTTACAGATAAGATGTGGAATGAGTTTTTGTTACAAATAACTTTAGGAATACACTGGTTAGGGTAAGGATTTGGGTTAGGCATAGTGGACTCACTAAAATGAATGGAAGTCAATACAAAGTCCTAACATGGGTACAAATACAAGAATGTGTGTGTGTGTGTGTGTATGTGTGTGTGTGTGTGTGTGTGTGTGTGTGTGTGTGTGTGTGTGTGTGTGTGTGTGTGTGTGTGTGCTTTTATCACATCATATGAACATCCACTGAGAAACATCAGCAGCAGGCTTGTAATGCGCATTTCCTCTGAAGGTACCAGCCTCCCACACACAACCAGGAACATGTCAAATGACACACGTCATGTGCATGCGTGCTCCTCAACACGTTACGTCCCCAGTTTCGTCTCCATAGGATGTGTTGGTGTGTTTATGCACGTGTTTGAAGTATATTTCTGTGCGTCGGGTTTCCAGCTTACCCAGTGATGAATACGCTTCGACTCTGGCTCTACACAGTGACGCATCTGTGTTGCATGAAATGCCTGTTACCATGGAAACAGGCAGCTGCCACACAGGTCTGAGCCACACAATGGTGGTGCTTTTTTATTTTTTCATCCTTACCTCTTCGTCTTGGTCTTTATGTCACTTTCAGTCTTCCTCCACCCCACTGCTCTGCGTGTCTTTAATCCAGCCTTTTTTCTCAATTCCTCTCACACCACGTCCGTCCTCTTTTCTTGTCTTGATTGCCATTCATTCTTTCATGCCCCCCCCCCCTCCCTTCTCTCCAAGGTTTACTCCCCCTCCCACCAACCAGCACCTATCTCAGTCGGCTGCATTTCATTCACCCTGACGTTTTTACCTCTCTCTCCATTCATTCATGTCAGCCCTGTCACCATGGATCTCATCGCTGTCCTCCTCTCCTTTCATCACTTGTCATGTCATCCTCTTCCCCTCCATCCATTTCTGTTTACCTGTGCTTCATCAAACCTAATTCTTTCTGTCTCGGTTTTCTCTTTTGTCCAACTTTTCTCTTTAATCTCTGCATCAGTCAAACCTCGTCAAGTATTTCTGTGGGCTGCCTACAGGATCTTCTTTCGTTGGGCGTGTCAATGATGAAATGAAATGCTGCCCTGTTAAATGACCATTACAATGGTAATGTATCAATCTCATAGGACCTTGGATGGTTAAATCATCGTATCAACAGTAGCTGTGGTACCATTTGAACTAGGGTGGAACAATTTTGGAAAATAATCCAATTGTGATTTAATTCACGATTATTTTCTCATATTTTTCAACTAACGGAAACAAAAAAATCTATGTAACTTGTACTGAATATAAAGAAGTTTATGTATCTACATATTTATCTACATATCATATCAACAAGTGTATTTGTCTACACATACATAAACACTCCCAAGTAAAGACAAACTTTTGTATTTGAAGGTGCAATGCTTCGCAGCCAGGAGCACATCCCTTGAAGGAGCATAGGTATTGGCGTCAACTGTGAACATTTACTTTCAGGAAAGAAGTGTGTCCCATTTATTGACGTCTTTTGTGTTTAGAGTTTTTGACGTCTTGTCCATGCAGAGCTTCCGTAGTTCAGTTGCGTCCATAGCTGCTAGCCAAAACTGTGTAGTTAGTCTCTTACAGTGTTCTAGCTTTACTAAAATATCTGTCTGTACTTATTTGATTGACTGCAGTTTTTACTTTTTATTAGACTCCAAATGTAATCATTTGGCACGTGATCTGCGAAATTAGCATTAGCGTCCCTATGGGTTTTTCCATGTATATTAGCATTGTGCTAACCACTCGCTGCCAGTCAAATCGCAGCCTTTGCGATTGGAAAATCTCCTTTTGTCACATAGCAATTTAACTGCATATGCAATGATTGTTCAGCCTTAATTTGAACCAATGAAAGAGACGTAGTAGACATGCATGAACATGTGCTCACCTTGCCAAAGCTGCCCTTGCCTAGTACCATCAAGAAGTTGAAGTCAGACAGCCTCATGCGATCTTGGTTGCCATTGGAGTCGAATCTGGATGCTGCATTTGCCGACTTGCCTTCGGTGTTTTTGCCCACAGCAATTTTAGCTCTCTAGATAGACAATAAAGATAATACAGGTCAAAAGAGTATAAACCGAGAAAAAGTTGATTAGAAAGTTAAGATGAAGAGGTTGGGATGATTTCATTTCTGAGCTGCTATAGGGATAAGGATGTCTTTTAGCTCTATGTCTACGTCAAAAGAGCACATACTCGTACACCTATTCTACTGCTTATCAAGACTAATAGCTAACAAGCCAATCACATGGCAGCAGCTCAGTGCATTCAGACAACTAAGATGTTCAAAATCACAGTCAGGTCCATAAATATTGGGACATCGACACAATGCTAACATTTTTGGCTCTATACACCACCACCATGGATATCAAATGAAACGAACAAGATGTGCTTTAACTGCAGACTGTCAGCTTTTATTTGAGGGTATTTACATCCAAATCAGGTGAACGGTGTAGGAATTACAACAGTTTGCATATGTGCCGCCCACTTGTTAAGGGACCAAAAGGAAAATGTCTCCATCATTCCTGTAACAGAGCCCTTGCACCGACGCATAATGGCGATGCGCGTCTCCGTACTCACGCAGACGGAGACGCATAAATCAGCCTTAAGGCAAAAGGGTCAGATTTAGTCCATGAAGTAGTTTGGTGAAATACCTTATTTATGTCAGATCCTCAATATGCTTGAAATGATTTAGATCGTCTTTTAGCACACAGACTCACAACTGGCTCTACGCCGAAGTAAGTTTTCCTAATTAGTTTCAGTGCGGCCACCTTCTGAGAAGCTGTGATGGTCATGGAGGAGTTTTAATCCAGCAGAAAGAGTGTTAGATACCACAGACACACATTTGATTTAAGGTGAGAAATGGGTGGCTCAGAAATACATTCCCTTCCTTTAATCCGGTGTGACGGGGCCCTAAGAGCCGTCTTAGTCTCATTTGATTTCTCCTCCACACACCGTGTCCCGCTCTGCATCACAACTCCGCTCCCTGCGACTCTGCATGAATATTCTCCACCCAGACTTTGTCAGTCTTTTGCCCCGACTCTGTTAAGAATAAATAGACAATCTTATTCTCCAGTAGTTTCTAGGATGCTCCTGTTACACGAGTGCACACTTGAGGACGGGACGAGTACGCCTTATCTTTTCTGATCTTATCTGTAATTGCTGATCCAAACAAAGCTCTGTGTGTTTCCACTCCTGTGCAGTTGCAGAAGCTCTTTACTGTCACGTCTCAACAAAAGGAAGCTTCCTCCAGCTTCATGTTTCAGCTGTTCGGTACTTTGCTTTTAACATTTCAAAAATCTGAAGTCATTAAAACACACAAGTAATATTTAGCTGTTATCAGTTGTGTTTCAAAGGAAATAACCTAAAGCCAGAGGTGTGATCAAGTCACTGCTTTGCAAGTCACAAGTAAGTCACAAGTCTTTCCAGTCAAGTCCATGTCAAGTTCAAGTCATTAACTTTGAATTTTCAAGTCATAATCAAGTCATATGTTCAACTTCAATTTAATAACAATGATGATTAGGGACACAACAATACCATTTTTTCCAAACCGATAAGATACCATTACTTGGATCTGAGTATTCGCTGATACGATTACCGATACTTCTGCCATACAAAAAAAATTATATGAATTGGAATATTTCTTCTCTGCTTTCAACAGGAAAAGACTGTGAGGTAGATAAAAAGTAAAATATATGAATAGAAATTATCACAAAACTAAAATATTAGGTGAACAGAAATGACAAGTTAGAGTGAAGCCATTTTCAAGCAACTGCATTGGTATCGGTTCCTGGTATCGGTTAACTTTTACCGATACCGGTACTGGTATCAGTGTCCCTAATGATGATAAACAATTCCAGAAATAAAGCTTCTTAAAGCTTCGTTTATTTGCTCAAACAAGCAGAAAGTGCAACTGAAACTGATTCTAAACAAAGTGCTGCTGCATTTAGCAGTAAATCAAACTCAGAACGAAGAATGATTTATGATTTTTGTCCATGTCGAGCCACTTCTGTGCTAAAATATCAAATATGCTCAAGTCATCATCAAGTCAACAGATGCAAGTCATTTCAAGTGGCAAGTCATTGGCGTTAAAGTCTGAGTCAAGTCATAAGTCTTTATAGATTTTATCAAGTCAAGCCTGACTTGAGTCCACGCCTCTGCCTAAAGCACATAAATGATCAATAGACTGACATTTGCTTTAATATTAGTGAAGATATTCTGCTTTCACTAAATCTGACTTAATTTGAACCAACTGGAGGGAAAAAAGAGGAAAATATTTGTGCAACTGGTGCGAGCAGTAATAGGCGTTAGATGTACGTCAACCAAAAGCACCATGAACATGAATATTTAGCCCTGGCTCTTTTGCCTTTTCCCCAGAGGACTGAAGAATGGCCAGATGAAGTAAATAAAGTCATCTGAAGTGTGAAACTTCATCTCTACGGTGCTGATTTAGTTCTACATCAGTCAATCAAGGATGCCTGCTTCTGCTTTATTAACTCAGAATCTGTTCACATAAATAACAGTGGTTTTGTGTTAGACATTAGCTGCATGTGAATCATGCATAAAATATGTTTTACTGCTAAGATAACGAGTGTGAGTGCAAACGTTTTAGAAGAATGTGTGATCTGGTCTCAGTTGTTGGAAAAAATACAAGTAAAACTGGAAAAATGAAAATATGGTGCAAAGGTTCATTTCATTAGTTCAAATTAGACTGAGATACCACCTAATGCAGCGGTACTCAATAGGTCTGGACCTGGCACCCGCGGGCCCCCTCTTTGTGGCATGCCCTAATATTCCTCTTTAAACTGGAAGGGAGGGGCGATGTCAATCCTAACGCTTCTGCCTTCACCTGTTTGTGTCAGGCTGTCTGCTTCACTCTCTGCCTCTTAATAAGCTTGCAATCAAGAATGGGAGGCCGGTTGCCATGGCGAACTTGATGAGTTACTGTCAGCAGTTTTAACATTTTGATCTTGATTTCTTTGAACATCTTATTCATCTGAATATTTGAATATTTTGTTAGAGTGAGCAGAAATGACCCCTCAGTTCTTCATGATTATTGATGAGTGATTAAATGTTATTTCTAATTAAAAAATACTGTTTCTGCAGTAAAAGAGCCTCCAGAGTTCTGGAGAAGGGTACATTTTAGATGACAAATAAAGCAGTAGAGAGAAGATTCTGCAACTATCCGACCAGACGTGTGACCTCCCTCCTAAAGTTCGGGAAATGTGAAAGTGCTTATTACATTATTTACTGATGAATGATTTTAAAATGTGAAATAAATCATAGGAGTCCTAATAGCGTCGGCTAAATAATGGCTAATTCTACTTTATGTTGTGTTGCTGCAATCTGATGATGAAAGCAAGGATTCATACGTCTCATGATGTTGAGACACAAATCAATAAATCTTGTGTAACCAGAACGAAATCTCTCTGCTCCTGTCTTTTCATCTCGTTACCATCTGTTTAGGGACTTCACACTTGAAGCACTGTGTGTGTGTGTGTGTGTGTGTGTATGTGTGTGTGGGTGTGTGTGTGTGTGTGTGTGTGTGTGTGTGTGTGTGTGTGTGTGTGTGTGTGTGTGTGTGTGTGTGTGTGTGTATGTGTGTGTGGGTGTGTGTGTGTGTGTGTATGTGTGTGTGGGTGTGTGTGTGTGTGTGTGTGTGTATGTGTGTGTGGGTGTGTGTGTGTGTGTGTGTGTATGTGTGTGTGGGTGTGTGTGTGTGTGTGTGTGTGTGTGTGTGTGTATGTGTGTATGGGTGTGTGTGTGTGTGTGTGTGTATGTGTGTGTGGGTGTGTGTGTGTGTGTGTGTGTGTGTGTGTGTGTGTGTGTGTGTGTGTGTGTGTGTGTGTGTGTGTGTGTGTGTGTGTGTATGTGTGTGTGGGTGTGTGTGTGTGTGTATGTGTGTGTGGGTGTGTGTGTGTGTGTGTGTGTGTGTGTGTGTGTGTGTGTGTGGGTGTGTGTGTGTGTGTGTGTGTGTGTGTGTGTGTGTGTGTGTGTGTGTGTGTGTGTGTGTGTGTGTGTATGTTTAAAAGCTGGCCCCCTGAGAGACTCAGTAGACGTCTGAGGACGATGACCTTGAGGAGAAGTAATGAAGAACAGCAGATCAAAAGTGAGACGAACCGCCAGGGAAACCAAAGGAGACAGAGGACAAACAACTCACTTGAGGACAAGGAAGACGGAGCAGATCATTTAAAAATGCTTTTGTTTATGTTGAATGAAACTCCTTTAAATTCACACACACAGAACAGTTAAATGAAACTAAAATAGCCATGCCAGGGTGGTGATGACTTCTGCCTTAATTGTTCACTAAAGAAGACCAGAGGTGGAAAGTAACAATTACATCTACTCACGTTACTGTAATTGAGTAGCTTTTTTGTGTATTTATACTTTTGAAGCCGTTTTTAAAATCTGTACTTTTACTTTTACTTGAGTATGTTTTTAAAAAGGAATTGTAATTCGCTACAATTTAAATCATATCTGTTACTGAGTAAAAATAAATTGTGGGCTTAATAAATAAAAAATATTGCGTGTAGCAGCATCGGAACAGGAAGAGATACCTGCATGAGCACCGCGTCTGGGGGGGGGGGTATACTTTAGATAATGATGACAGACAGCCATTTTTACAGCAGGTTTGCTAAAAACATCAGTTCAGTGATCCACTCGCTGTTCACCTCCTCTCCTGTGGGTTGGATCCCGCACGTTTGCGCACCGGTGTTACGTCATCAGAATTCTGCTCGTTTCGGTAGCCGGACTCGGTTCCGTGTTTGAAGTGTGTTTCCCTACCGTTCCGCACGGAAGCGGCAAAATAACATTTAGCGCTCCTAACAAGCGGATTCTCAGCGCTTTGCTCATAAAACAGAAGACCTGCAGGCCTCTGTGAGTTAAAACATCCTGATACTGTTCAGGTGTAAACATTGTTCTCCATCCCTGTGTTTGAACTCAGAGGATGCTTCTTGATGCCACAGATATGTGATGATTTAGCTTGTTTCTTTATTTTACTCCAGAATAAGAGATTAAAGTATTACAAAAGAAGTTCAGTGTAGGTAAATTAGTCATTCACATGATTCTAACATGCTCCAGTGTGTGTGTGTGTGTGTGTGTGTGTGTGTGTGTGTGTGTGTGTGTGTGTGTGTGTGTGTGTGTGTGTGTGTGTGTGTGTGTGTGTGTGTGTGTGTGCGCGCGCACACACACACGAGCGTGTTGTGAACTGGTGTTGTGATTTTGCACTGATGTAGCCATCCTTACGCTGACAAAAATGTAACTAAGTAACTTTTACTTTGAGTACATTTTTTATGATACTTTTTACTTTTACTTGAGTAAAAATTTAGGCAAGCACTTTTACTTGTACTTGAGTAAATAATTATCAAAGTACTCATACTCGTACTTAAGTAGGAAACTTTAGTACTCCTTCCACCTCTGAAGAAGACAATTGTTGTTTTTTGTTTAATATAATCAACCATTTCTTCTCAAATCAAATTTTTGTGCACGATTTGAGTTTAACAGAAACAATTTCTGGGCAAATCTCATTTGATCAAGAATATAAAAGTAAAGCTACAGTAGAAATATAGTGATTTCTAGTGCACTGTACACCATTGTTTCATCATTTGTCTGTTTTGTAAAGTACACATTTAAGTACACATAGAAGTATTAAAACCAAGTTTTAAAAAAAAGTGTCATTCTTTAAAATTCCTGCTATAAAACAGAAACGGAACTGCACCTTCCCGTAACCCTACCCTGGAACAACTCTCCTAAACCACATCAGTATGCCATTACACGCTAGAAGACCACGCTAACAATACACTATCAGATTAGGAGGTTGTGGCCTTGGAGTGAGGCCAGCATGGCTAGTTGTGCTAGAAATTCTGAATGACCGAGCCACTTCAGAGGATGCTGCATCATGAATGAAGCACACTGATGCAATCAAGCTCTACCCAGGACTCCAACATAGTGCCATATCAATAACCAACCATTACAACCTCTTTACTGTTGATTGGTAGCTTGGCCACCCATCCTTGTATGTATGTAAATTAAGTACTGTACCTCTATCTGCTTCTGTCTAAAACAGGGGTGTCAAACTCATTTTAGCTCAGGGGCCCCATTGAGGGAAATCTAGTCCCAAGTGGGCCGGACCAGTAAATTAAAAACAACTTCAGATTGTTTTCTTTGTTTTAATAAAATCAATATAAAACAAGGCTGGAGCCTGAGGACAGTGTATCCAAAATAGTACAAGTACAACACCTGAAGTGTACTTGAAAATGTGAAAAAACTAAAAAATGAATAAATAAAAAAAACATTCCTTAGTGATTCAAAGAGCTTACGGATCACATGGCTAGATCAGTTTCATGCAGCACTTAAAATATATTTTACTTTACATCTTTTAGCTTTCACCAGCACATCAATATCAGAAGTCACATCCTGAGTGGCGGCCAACTTCAGGATGTGATTCAAGTTCTTGTGTGGGCCTTGAGCGCAGCTTTGTTTTATTTATACTCATTGCAGAGAAAACTTGCTCACAACGATAAGTTTATTTTCACTCTACATTGTAAAGTATGAAAATAAAGTTTACACAACCATCTCACGGGCCGGATTTAACCCGCTTGCGGGCCGGATCCGGCCCACGGGCCGCATATATGACACCCCTGGTCTAAAAGAAAGGCTCAAGTCTAAATCGTCCACAACTGTTTCAAACAAACGCCGTTCCTGAGAGATGCAACCTTTGTAGTTTTTCACCATCGCATCGCTTGTGTTAAGCCTAAAACCTAGAGCGCTGTGATTGGCAAGACACAAAACTGATAAGGCCAATGGGAGTTGGGAGTTGGTGCATACTAAGATCAAATGTTTGGCTTTCACATTCTGTCAGGAATGATGGGAATCCCAATGTAGTCATGAAATAAACTCCCCAAGACTTTGCCAAAACCTTGCAAACGCCTTGATTCAGCATAAACGGGGATGATGGTAATAAAAGTTAAAGTCCCATTAGTTGTCACAAACACATAGATGTGTGGTGAAATTACATCGACACATTTGACCCATTATCCTAGCTCCATAACCCATCCCCATGGGGAGCGTTGAGCTGCAGACATGTCTGCACTCGGGAACTATTTGGTGGTTTAACCCCCCAACAATCAAACCCCTTAATGCAGAGTGTCAAGAGGGGGTGCGTAGGGTCCCATTTGTTTAAGGTCTTTGGTATGACCCGGCTGTGGACTTTAACCCAATCTCCCAGTTTCAGGGTGGATACTCGACCACTAAGTACACAGGAACGTTAAGGCATTCTCCATGAGTCTTTTATGTTGGTTGCTTGGTGTCAGAATGACTGATGAAGAGGAAAAAATCCACAGTGGGGTTATCCTAATCCACTGCCAAATGAGTTAATGAATGGGCATACTGGTCAGCACACACACACACACGCGCGCGCACGTCTGGACCTGCAGTGTGCCAGACCGGATGGTATTATAAGTGTGCCTGCCAACTGCTAACAGCTTTCCCAGAGTGGCTCTCACTCAGACACACACACACACACACACACACACACACACACACACACACACACACACACACACACACACACCTCAAACTTCTGCCGTAGCTCCTCGTTGCCCTCCTCTCCTTCTGGAGCCACCGGAACATTGAAGTACTCGCCCTCTTCCTGGGAAAGCAGCTTAAACCTAAAATCAGCGGATATTTGCAGTCAGATCAACTCCTAATTACTTCATACAATGAAGGTGCTTAACTGTTCACATGAGCCAAAGATTCATGATGGTGACAGTTTGGGCTCCAGCTTGAAGTTCTGAAGGAAAATCAGTTGGTTATTGAATAATTTACTCTACTTCATGGTAATCGGTTCTCATAATGGTCCACATCTGGTCTGACAACTGGTGCCACTAATGACTACACACCTCACTGCACCATCAGCATATTCAGGCCATAGGACATTTGCAGAGGAATAATGGATTCAGTGATACAGATTTAATAACAGAGTTTACAACCTTTTTAATCTATAAAAAAGTGTTTTCAGATCGAAGTGATCAGTCAGTTTGTTGATATATTTGGCAGATTTTCTCCGTGTTTGTATCCTCTCCTTTGAGAACATGGGAAGCTGGCGAACAGGCAGGCGGATCTGTGGGGAGAACAGTGTGGCTTCCCTTGTGTGGCATTACGCCCTTCGTCAGCAGACTTCTGTCATTAAAAGCATCAGGCATCTTATGGTGGCAGAGGAGTTAGGTGCCCACCTCTTAACCAGGGGGTTGCAGGTATAAGCCCCACTCAGTCTTTGAGCAAGACACTTCATCATCCTTGCCTGTTGGTGGTGGTTTGAGGGACCAGTGGTGCCAGTGTACGGTGGCCTCGCTCCTGTTGGTGTTCCCCAGAGCAGCTGTGGCTACATCGTAGCTCATCTACATCAGACTGTGAATGTGTGTGTGTGTGTGAGAGAATGACTGTTGTAAAGTGCCTTGGGGGGTGTCTAAGCGAATACAGGCCTTTTAACATTTACCATCAGGTCCCAACTGAACTCCAAAAAGTGACTCTGGGCGTTTCTCAGTATATGTACTCTTCTGAACTTGTGTACTCGTGTACTTGTGACACGTCATCGACGATGGCCAAAGAACCGTCCAATCCTAAGTACATGTCATGACAAGTTTGCTCAAAGTTCCTGGGTGTGCTTTTGCTCCACCCATTGTATCGAAGATGCATCAATGCATCCTTCTGCGGACTTGGGACAGCAAAGTATCCCATACTGCATTGCGTGGCAAACCGTTATACTCTGATGCAAGTATGGTTATGTTCCACATGCCATCCTCGTCCTCCCATACTTGGTAGAATGGACGTTCTGCTGTACTTGCCAAGAGCATACTTGACAAGTACACAAGAACGTACTAGCGTACTTGGGTATAGAGAAATGGCCCTAGTCTCCTTAAGCCCACCTACTGCCATAAATATAAAGATAAAATAAAAAAGTTGTTGTCATATTTTAGCTAACCACTCAGAAAAGGCACAGATGGTATTTAAACCTGTAACCGATTTGCTGAAAGGCAGCAGTAATACCAGCTGCACAACCATGGAACCACTCATCATTTTGAGTCTGTTATAATTAAAGCAACATATTATTTTTAGTTAAAGACCAAGTTCACTGAGAAACATTTTTAACTTATTTTTTAAACACGGCTGGTCACTCTGAGTTTGACATGCAGGCTAAATGTGAAAATAGTCTTCTACCCCTATTTCCTGCATTAGCCACTGATACAAAATAGAAATGCTCAGATTAGAAAGGTCACTCAATGCGACGCCACACTGAAGTTTGGACTCATCTTAGCTCATGACCAGGGAAGGCTGTTGTTGATTTAGCATCCAGGAGAGAGTAGAGCGCGTCTCAGCCAATAAAAGCTAACCTTTAGCATTAGCAGCTCCAGAACGAGGCAGAACTCCTTCAGGTTTGTGTTATTTGTGGACATAAAACATCAATGTTGCTGAGTGAATGGAGTCAGTGGTAGTGTTAGCCAATCAGAGGTGAGACGTCCGAATATCAGGAAAAAGACTCGAAAACCAGCCGTGTCCTACTTACCTCTGCTCTGGCTCGTTTCTAGATCCTAAAATAGGAGTTACAGAGCTTTTTTTCCCAGAGACCACTGCAAATGTTAAAAAAACAACAACAGTGAACTTGATCTTTAAACTGTTATAAAAATACTTTTGGGAGTACTATTCTATGCATGTTTTGCACAGTTAATTGCTGCTTCTGTAGGTTAGTAAAGTACTTTTATTTTACAGGTTTTGCACTTGTGCAGATTAAATCCCACCGCTCACATTCAAATGATTCCACATAAAAACATGGAATGTTGTGTTCATGTCTCTTCATGCCACTCCCTGCCTTGTAGTTCTGCCATCAAGTACGAGGTTTAAAGGGAAAAACCTCGGAATTTCAGGTGTATAAAAGGCGTCTTTCCACCTCCACCTCAAAAAGCAGGCATCTCATTAAAAACCCTGACAGAGCAGTTTAAAAACCCTGACAGAGCAGTGTCAGCAGAAAGAGGGGAAGATGCAGGGAGATAAAGACGGTGTGGGGGTGTGGGTGGCAGCGTGGAGCGAAGGTGGTGGAGCGATAAAGCAGTAGAGATAAAGAGACGGGGCTGACTTGTTCTGGCACTGAGTTTATGCAGAATAAAAAGTGAAGTTCCAACTGGAGGGTTCCTCCTGTGATACAGTAATGAGCAAGGTCACCTTCACTCCCTCGCCTGCTCCTCACTTCTCCACATGTCTCTCCCTCCCCCTCTCCTTTTTAACTTTTTCATTCATTCTTACCATCCGTCCACCCCTTGCTTCTGGAGCTCCGAGATGCCGAAGGACAGTGATCCCATAAAGTCATTGCGGCTGGTCAGATCCCAGTCCCACACCTCCACCGACAGGCGGCGGTCCTTATCGTACTCCTTCAGGTGGCTGGAGGAGACAAGAGGATGGCTGAATATTCAACATGAAAGTCGTTATTTTAGCATATTCACCAAACGGATGCATCTCTGTGCATGCAGGTATAAACCATCTTATAAATGCCAACTCTTTCTATTAGTAATTTTGATGGATTCACAGAGTCCCCCTCAGCCTGAGCATCTGTGCCGAGACGCCTGGAGCTGTTGAGGCTTATTAAGTATGCATCTGCAGCAAAACAACCCCACAAGCGAGGTTTTACCAACACGAGAAGCCAGATGTTTTTATCTGAGCGTCGGCGGTTTCATGTGCTTGGAAAGACTAGCTTAACGTAACGGTCTGAAGACACATCGCCAAATGGGAGACGAAGAGATAAAGACCAAAAAGGGAAACAAGGGACGGGGTAAAGATGAAAGCCAGCATGTTTCCAGTCTTACAATTTAAAGGTCTCATTCCAGGTGGGGTTCAGACAGCACTTTATAGTCTTGGTCTTCTGCTTGCTTTCGCTGCGAGGATCTGGGATCAGTTTAAGCTTCACGTAGGGGTCTGAGAGACCATTGGGGTCCATGGGGATCAGGTTCCTGGCCTCCTTAACTGAAAGGAAAAAGAGGAGATAAAAGGAAAAGAACAGAAAAGAGGTGAGGGTCAGAAATATCAAACAGCATCATTCTGAAAGCTTATTAACAATAAAATCTTGATTTTGACTTCTGTTCCGACAGTGTGCCACATAGATGGCTCCAATAAAATACTGATTAAGTGTCCCATAATATCCCAGCTTGTGCAGCTGTAAAACAGGCTGATGAATAAGGACGAAACTGGAAAAAATCCACATGCTCCAAAGCTAGCCTCACCAACCAGCATGCTAGCAGCTTGAAGTTAATGTCAGCAGGCATGAAGAAACTTGTTCAGGCAATGAAGGAGGGAACTGTCTGTCCAATAAACCACTAAAAAGATCAGAAGGCACAGCAGAACAATTCTACTGATCATTTCATGTCACCAGATTAGGACTTTTGGAATCGACTTGGGGGCTGACATTTTGAAAACTCCCTTTGCAATTTGTCACCAACGATCTGATTCCAGAAATGCTGATTTAGGCTCCGTGCCAGACTAGAAAACAAACTAAAAAGATGTTCTGTTGACTCTAAAATGGTTTTCCTAATTAGATCTGCTATAAAGTAGCAGATCTGATGATAATGACCATGTAGACCAACTGAGGGTGCAGTTCCAGCACTAATCCTTCTTCTTACATGTTTATGGGCTGAGTGTATTCCAGTGCTGTTAAATCCCCTGCCATTTGAGTGTTTTCAACTGTGTGTGTGAGTTTATGTGTGTGTCTGCATAATTATGCTTGCTGGTCAAGTTGTGAGGTCACATCAATTACAGCAGTACTGCAGTGTCTGAGGTAGCGCTAAGCACAGGAAGCTTTTCCACCACCTAAACACACACACACACACACACACACACACACACACACACACACACACACACACACACACACACACACACACACACACACACACATGCTTCTTCAACCATATCATCAGAAACTGGAGACCAAAGAATACATTGACCTCGATACACACTTAGCTAGGAGACGATGCTGATAAAAACACATAAATCTGACTTTAACTTGTATTCTCTCCAAACTTGTCCCAGTTTGTCTAAATAAAAATCAAAGATTCTTCAGTTTTAAATGTACACAAACTTAGAAAGTAGCCAAAACTCTAGTTTAACAGAAGATGGTTTATTAAGGCAACACAACATGATGTCTCAAAATGGCCGCCGTGGTGCGATCACACAGTCTGGCAGGTCCTGTGTCTTCGCCACAAAAAAAAAAACTTAAAAAACCTAAAAGATGGTGGATCTTGCCATCAACCTATCTACTATCTATTTCTGTTTGTCTTCATATACTGCTGTGCCTATCCTTTCCATAGAATAAGGATGAAAACAGCACCCAAGCCCTCCTTCCAATAAGGGTGAGTCAGCACTTTTCACAAGAATACTGGATAAGGGCCGTGCCAGGCTACCTCCTGACAAACATGAACAGTCGCAGCTTTCTAAATCTTCCTTGGGAGTTATACACCTTCTGCTGGTCCTGCTTTTGGCTGGAGATGTTGAAATAAACCCAGACATATACCAGGATCATAGGTTACTTTACTGCTACCCGGGCCATCTACAACGCTACCTGGATTGCCTCCATTGCTATCTGGGCCATATCCAGTGCTACCTGGGCTATCTCTAATGTTGCCTGGGCTGCCCTCACTGCTACCTGGGCTACTTCCACTGCTACCTGGTCTACCTACACTGTTACCTGGGACACCCCTATTGTTGCCTGGGCTACCCACATTGCTGCCTGGGGTGCATCCATTGTTACCTGGGCTGCCTTTACTGCTATCTAGGCTGCCTCTACAGCTACCTGGGCCACTTGAACTGCAAACTGGGCTACATTCAATGTTACCTGAGCTACCTCTACTGCTATTTGAGCCACCGCGAGCTGGACCTCAACTACCACATGCTGAGCCTCAACCACCATCAGCTGGACCCCAACCACCCCCAGCTGGACCCCAACTACCAGCTGAACCTCAATCACACCAACTGGATCTCAACCACCACCAGCCGAGCCTCAACCACCAGCAGCCGGACCCCAACCACCACCAACTGGATCTCAACCACCACCAGCTGGACCCCAACTACAGCAAGCTAGGCCTCAACTACCACCAGACAGGCTTCTTTCACTGCCAGCTGGGCCTCTATCTCCATCTAGAAGGAATGCATTGTTTAAAAGACATCGCACCACCAATCTATTTTCAACTCTAAACCAGGCTAAAATAATCTGGGACCTTAAATCTAAACCCAGTGGATTACTTGGTGGGCTTTTAAACATTCAGAGCATGGCCCCCAAACGTGAACAACTGGAGCATTTATTAATAAGCTCAAATATTGATTATCTTGGACTGACAGAAACATGGCTAACTAGCTCTTCTATAGATACCGTAATAAGTATGCCTGGATATAATACATTTAGAAGTGATCGGGGCAGTGGAAAGGGTGGGGGGTGCTACTATACATATCAGAAACACAATAAAATGCGAAAAAATCCATCTGCCTAGTGAAATTGGACTTGAATGTATTGGAGTAACTAGTGATCTCAGAATATTTTAATCTTAAACAACTGGTAGAAAACCCCACCCGAATTACTATACTCTTCAACCCAAATAGACTTAGTATTCACAAACCGACCTGAAAGAATTCTTAAAATCCATAATCTCCTAACAGGGATGTCAGATCATAATATTATTATTTTTTTCATATAAACTCTCAAAGGCAAGGTTTCATAACCCACAGACATCTAGGAGCTGTCACGAGTTCATTCCAGAAAACCAAATGCTAAATCTTGATAAAACCCTAAGAGAGACTGATTGGAGTGATATTCTCAAGAACGATGCAACTTAATTGTTATTGTTTTTTGAATGCTTGTAATTCCAACCAGACACGGAGACGAAGGTGAAAGAGAAAGGAAGAGACAAAAGGAGGGGGGGGGGGGGGGGGGGCACAAAAACAAACAATCAATGATGAACAAGAGTCTGCTTCTAGACCTGCAGAAGGAGAGAGAAAAAAAAGAAAAAGAAAAGGGACACACAGCAAAACAACAGGAGCAAGCTATCACTGTGTCAACCTGATGAGAAAATATAAAATAAACATTGTTTTACTGAACAATCACAATAATAAATCACAGTGCATTAAGTGCCAACCACAGCCAACATGTGTTGAACGTGCCCAAGTCCATTCTTATGAGAGCACCATGTGAGCACCTGTGTGCGTACCCGCGCTTGTATATGTAAGATTTCTCTATAGGAGCATCCAATAGAGTGTGAGGGGCCACAGATCTGCCCCCCAAAGATGTGTAGGAAATGGAAGGAGTTCCAAGTCTCAGAGATTCAGGAGCTGCCCCAGAGCACAGGGACCCTAGAGAGTAGGGCTGTCGCGGTTGAGGAATTCCCCCTGCGGTGATTCAGGGTGGCTTAATATTGCGGTATGCGATATTATTGCAGTCCTTTTTTTATTGCAGTACTATCTAAACATAATGTTTACACATTTAAAAAAGGTTAAAAATTGCCATGCCTTCTTTTATAACGCTTTACTGAATGCAGATCAAAGGGCAGTAACAACACAGATCGCAGTAACGTTTGTCCGACAGTTGGAGTCCGACTGAACTTAAAAACAACAAAATTCAGGAGAAGGTTAAACTTTTAAATGCAAATTTGGCTGCAGCGTCTAACAAATAAGAAACAAGTACCCATTTTGTTTAGTTGTTTAAAATCAAGCATAAAAAATTGCATGTACCGGGCGCACGCGCGCCGGGGGGCGGGCGCACTATCATTTCACTTTCACACACACGAATGACGGTGATTTATAGCTCTGTCACATCCTTGTTACCCACAAGGAAAACCAGCATGTTAACCATATACGGTTTGAGAGAGGATCTGAGAGGGGTGGCAACATTTCCAGCAACACTGAAAACCCTCTCGGATGGTGCGCTCGTTGCACTTACCCCAAATTCCACTACCTCCGCTCCCCTCCGCTCCTCCGCTCCGGTCCGGCCCCGCTCGCTTCCGAACTCAACTTGCGTGCGACTCTGGCGAGCAAAGGGAATCTCTCCCGGTTGTTGCTCCACCATGTCAGGGGGGTTCTTTAGGGTGGATGCATTCCTCCTGCAGGTAGCGAGTGAGCTCCAGCTCGGCTCAAACTCTCTTCGGGACGGTTGCAGAAGCAGTGCTTGTCCGGGACTTCAGGAGGTCTCCGAGCGTTTATTATTTATTTATTTTTTGCCGCTGGTGGCAGCTCCGTCTCGGCCAAGGACTCTGGCTGCGCAGCAGCTGACGTACTGAAAACCAAAGTGCTCCCAAAGGAGCGAAGTAACGTTTCGTTTTGATACCAGTGCAGCCATCCTTCTCTACATGCATCATTGAGTTGAACCAAGTTCAGTAATCGCGGTGGCCCATGATGCAGCGCGGTGGGCTTCTTCATATCGCGATATTTCATTTTTGCGGTTACCGCGACAGCCCTACTAGAGAGACTGCGGCCAGAAAAGCCCCTGTCCCCCTCGAGAGGTGCAGAGGATTGCCCCGGGGGGCCACAACCAGCAGCCGGCAGAGTCCCGGGGGATATCAGCGGCAAGCCCACAGGCCCGCCCACAGCCTCCCACCCTCAAGCCGGCCGAGCCCGGAACCCAGCAACCCGGGACCCAGGGGCAACCATCCCCGCCGGGGACCCAACAGAAGCCCAGGGACCCAGATCCCACCAGGCAGCCACCGGGATTAATCAGGCAGACGCTAAAAATCTTAAACCCCCTGACCAGGGAGCCACGAACACTCAGGCAGACCAAGGCACTGCACTCCACACCAGGTGTGGCAGTGGGAGGGGAGGCGAAGATGTATAGCAGCAAAAGAAGTCCAAGGAGAGGGGAGGAGTCAAATGCCTCACCTGACGTATACAATCATACACAAACATAGTCGCACACTCCCTCCCTCATGCTCACACATACCCTTACAACCTAAGACTCATAAAAATGCACGCCAGACACCCACTCATAC